AGTTCTACGGCCCCTCTTTACAGACGTAGCAGAAAGAGAATATATGAGGAATCCTAAAAGATCTTAAGCACACAGACAAGGAAGCCCTGTTTCTTTGGATCCTGAGAATTCGTATTGAAAAACCCCAGCCTTCCTCCCCCACCTTTGCCGACAGCAACTTCTCCAAAGGAAACACTCGCAGCCCCTTCTCTGTGATGTCTCTACCCCGTCCCTGGGAAGGATAAAATAATGGAGAGGGGCCAGACAGCTGTCAACAATACTCAGAGCAGGTTTTATGCTGAGGAGGGGGAAGTCTCCCCTAATAAAAGTCTGTCAAATCTTGAGGGAAGTGTTTTGCATACTGGACTTTATCTTTTTTGCATACTGGACTTTATCCCAGCATCAACTTACTGATCTGTGAACGCCAATGATACAGGATGCCTAAAAGACTTTGAAAAACTCAGAGGAAGAAGGGAAAGCTACTAACTAACCCACTCTCCTTCTGAACAACGTAGAGATCCTAGAGGGAGACCCAGACCCATCTTCATGAAATCCTACAAAAAGAGTGTACATGAGACTGCCTTACTTAAATGTCACCAGCACACACACCCTTCTGAGAATTCCAGCACTGCTAACTTTTTATAGTCTCAACTTTCTAAATTCAATAAAAGGCCACCTTACTGACCACAATTGTTTGTATTTGCACTTATAGCTTATTCAGTATGCAAATCAAAGATGTTAACTTCATGTACTGTTCTGCCCATGTAATAATGTGCAATGATACACTCCAGTAAGAAGCCCTATGTGCTGTGCTGTCTACTGAACTCTTTTTAATTAATAAATTTATTATAATAGATATTATAAATACCCTTTTCTAAATATAAGCTTCCAGATACCTTCTGCAACAGAAGATTCCCAGTGTTTTTAAAGAGTGAAGAGCCTCTCATGAGAACAGCAGCATCAGGAAACACTCCTTTTGACATATAATCATACAAGCCAGTTTCTTTCTCTCATTTGTTAATGATACAAAAGGCACTTTACAAAAACCGTTTACTACACTAAAAAGAAGTATTGGCAAAATAATTAATTTCTACCTGTCTTGCATTTTAGCAACTGGACACAAGACGTAACTAGCAGCATGTAACCTACCAAGTCTCCACAGATTACCAGCAAAACCTACATATTTTAAGAAATATTTTTATTTATGTAGCCTGTTCTTTAAAATTATTTCTGAACATAATAGATGTAAAAGAAAGAAGAAAAGATACACAAAGCTGAACAATGCGATAAGAAGCCCGTGATTAACTGGGCAACTTAACAGTGAATCCATGGGAGGAGAGCATTATGTCATCCTAAATACAGGGATCTAAATAGTCAATTCTTGCTAATAGTAAGTATTCTATTTACACTACTTCACAGATATGGCGTAAGGCATTTTATTCAGCTTTAGTGGCTCTCCATTTTGTGCTAAAATGACTAAGACATTTCAGAAACATTTATTTTGGAAGTATTTCTACAGGTACGTGAAGCTACAGTTTTCATGCAGGATGTTTTCTTACAACATGCCACAGAGATGACCTGTATTGGTTGATACTGAAATAACGAGATGTCTTCCAGTTGTGAGGCTCAACGTCAAATACAATACAAATTCAAGAGGCAAACTGTTCCCCAGGTAGTAAAAAGCTGTAGATAGCTTTAACAAGTGACTAATTCAAGCATCTATCCTTAATTTGTTGTGAAACTCACCTCTGAAATCCAATCAACAGATTTTGCATTTAGTGTAGTTGTGACAGAAGTCGATGGCCTTAAAATGTTTTCACCTCTCAGAAGTTGTTAAGGTTTAAGCAAAAATGTCTGTTTAAGTAAAATCTTTACATCATAATAACTAACCCAAATCTGTTACTCTCTAAAACACACCAGTCTTCAGAAATTTGAAGAGCTGCCTGCCAGCAAGAAATTCGCACCCTTGAGGCAGAAGCACCACATCAGACATAGTAGTTCTAAAGAAAATTCAGACCTAGACATGCCCAAAACAAAAAACAAGACAGCCTGGTCCTTCAACTGGGAAGGCTCACAGTCCTGGATTTGGCCATGTGAGGTGTCAGAGGACTAACTTTACAGAAGGAGCTCAATTATGAACTTAAAGTGTAGATGGAAAGGAAGGAAGATCAGACTCTTGAATACTCAGGATACATCATCACAAGGAAACCAAACACTGAACTCACATTCCTATTTTAGCCATCAATTATATTTTTTAAAAATTACACTTTCCTTGCAAATTTAGTAGTGATTCAAATGCAAAATTCATGCTTTTTGTAGCTAAATATATGATACCCTGGGCTTAACAGCTTGTACTATGATAAATAATTTTGTGGGTTTAGATTTTTCTTTTCTGTGTTGTTGGACATCAGTTTAAATTTTATATAGAATACTTAGCTTGTCCGTCTAGTTCTAGACTAACTACACTACTAGTCCCAGTATAACATAGACCACTTAAAAATATAAAAACAAAGCTTCACTTTAGTAACATAACTGCATCACTTGTTCCATTAACATAACGGAAACCAGAGAGAAACTACAAACTTAGTAACAAGTTTGGAAATATATTCCTGATTCTTGTTTTAAATCAACATATTGATGCTTGAACAATTAATGAGAAAGTGCCATCCTGTTTCTATAGAGGATGCAATTTTGAACATCTTTCAGTATAGAATTAGATCAACTTTAACTGCTTTTAAAAACTGTCCTTATATATGCTACAAAAGACTTATGTAACACACAAAACAGTCATCTTAGCCAATGTTTTTCCCCTTTTATGTACCATAAAAGACAACAGTTGTGATTTTCTATACTGTCTCAGAAATAAATAAAAAAAGATTATAAAAGCATTACAGTTGATATATACCAAGTCATACAGTACCACAGAATGGCCTTTGTGAAATGAAAGGGTTAATCGCTGCTTTTAATTACACCCAAGTAACTTTAATGAGAGCGAATACTGCAGCAACATCTATAAACACAATGACAACATTAGCAGAACACCAGTTATGAAACCCCTGCCAACACTGCTTGTACAGGGCTTTTTTTTGTTTTGTTTTAATCAAGATATAAAAATCTTACCAAGTTCTGCTGTTTGGGGTATTTGCAGAGCCCTGCAAAAAAATCTGTAAGACTAGGCAGCTTTAGAGAGTGTAGCGTGCAGCAGTAACCATGACGATAAGAAAAATGCTTTTGCTAATCTTTTTCTTTCAAATGACAATACTTCCAAATACTGGTGGTTTTCCACTGTATTACAACTGTTGTTTCTTGCTCCTGTGAATCTAGGCCTCCAATCCTTGTAAACCTGAAACTTCTGACAAAGTGAACAGCAATTTGGGATGCACTAATAACACAGAATGAGTCCTAACCAGTCCACCAGCATCTTAAGTGACTGTGGTAGGATGGACATCACTTGTTGGCAACTGTGTCTTATTTCATTGTTGCACAGAACAGGTAGAAAAAAAATGTTACATTTTTAAGATAAATACTTTGCAAGTAAATGGGGAATCTAAAAAAATAACAGAAAGGCAGAGTGTACATAGGGTCTCTATGGAGATCACAAAACTGCTGAGGTAGGTTAGAATTTGGCCCTCAGCAGGCTGACCATAAACTTTAAGAAAACAGCCTGGAACTCCTCTGCATTGATTTTGTCTTGGTTTTGTATTAAGTTGGGGTTTTTAAGCAATAAAAAATAAAATAATGAAAAATCCTTCAGAAATTTATATTTGTTCTCTACTATTTCTCCAACAGATTTGCTCACCAAACTAGGATAATGCTTTCAAAAGATGTATGTGATTTGGATCTGAAGTCACATTTTGAAAAGTGACTAAAGGGCTGATTTTCAAAGGCATTAAGATACCTAAAGATGCATTAAGCACTTAGAATTTTTAAAACTGCCTGGGCATCTAATGCCTATTTAAATCACTTAGTCCTTTCTGAAAATCCCAATGGGCAGTTACCTACATTTTATGTGTCTATGTGCCTTTGAAAATCTGTACCATTAAATACTTAACAACCGAAATCCCCCTGGCTTTTAATGAGACTTAAGGTCCTAAAAAGTGTAAGTACTTCTGAAAATTGGTCAAGCCACTTTCTCTGGTCTTTTCTTCTTTCTTTTAAAGAGCCATCTACTAATGCTTATCCATAGCATGTCACCTAACTACAGCTTCAACATTGTCAGACTTACACATTGTACTGTGCACGTTCAATGTTTTTATGTAACTAAAGAAATAAAGGTCCTGAGTACAGGCTACATCCTCATAAGACTTTCTGAAGCTCCAAAAAAGAAAATTAATTCCAGCCTGTAACCCCTGTGAATACCCCAAAATCATTGTTTCAATAAGTATGATCTAAAATGAGTATAATTTAGGCAGATAAAAAAAGCATAGTTTAATTACCAAGCAACTTATTCAAATTACTACAAACAAGTTCTGAAAGACAGCCACAAAGCAACAAAAAATGTTCAGAGAAAAACTAGAAAAAGAAGGAAGTTGTGAAGAGGCTCTTTAAACAGGCAGTAGTTCCAGAAAAGAAGACAAGCCTTAATTCTGAAATTTCTTTTTTAAACAAAAATGTATGAAACTGTAAAGCATTCCCTCGTGCAAACATTTGAAAGATTTATCTTCTGATCTTCTTTAATGTCAATGGGAGGTAACTTGCACTGACCACATTCCCAAAAAGGAACTGATTTGTAAATTAGGAACGCAGGGAATCAGATTGCCACCTACAGGAAAATTTAGCATTTATTGTCAAGAATGACTCAAAAAGAATACAAATTGCCAGCCTGCCAAGCACTCTTTCAGTTTTAGTCATCATTTCAAAACCAATTAGTATTTTCTTTTGTGCAACTATATCATCAACTTCCTAAATCCAGAAAGCCATTAACATTTCTTTTTATTTAAGAGAATATTGCTTGAAAGTTCCATAATTCAACTACAAAGCAGCAGATTGCAATCATGTTTCAGAATTTTAAGTCTGCTTACCTGATACAATTGGTGCTAGCCTGAATATGTCTGATAGTCTGCTGTTAACTGGCTCATAAGGGGAATCTTCAAGCAAGTCATTTCCTAAAGACAAAAAATATTTGGATTTTTTTCTTATATGAGAATTCAGGATAAGATTTTGTTGTTTACTTTTACTCTGAAATGAAGCTACTCTGTAACAGCAAAAGGTACTCCCCTTTAATCTGTTTACATAGCTGTTTCTCCTCAAAGCATTATCTATAAAAACACCTGAAAGAAGCTAGTTGTTTATCCCTGACACTAGTTCTTTTCTCTCCTTCCTCCACAGATAAGGTCATAATTTGCAGAGGCAGGCTGTGACATCACAGGGACTGTCCCATCTCATGCCAGCAGGAGAGAAGCTGTAGCAGGGATGTTCCTCTTCATTCCCTCTAACAGCAGAGCTCTTTTTTAGAGGAGCAGCCCAGGTAACAGCCAAAAACTAGCATCTTTGGAATAAAACACTCCTAACAAGATGCTGTTGGAAGGGAAACTTTTTATGATGCGGGAAATGTCCAAGAATAGCATAACTCATTATGAAAGTTAGAACATATATTGACTCATTAAAACATTTCAGTTGATGCCTGGATAAATGAACAGAGAGGGATGCCTTCCCTTTTTGCAGAAGCGGCTACAGAAAAAGAGTTAAATGGGGACCACACTGAAATGAAAGACTGCATCTTCAACTCCAGGGCCAGAGCAAAACAGGGCTAAAAATGATATATCTCATATAAGGACCTGACTGTTCTCAGCAGGCTATGGGAAATTTGCCAGTGACATCAAGAACTGAAGTCCCGAGTCAATCATTGTCATATCCCTTCTAACTGGCACTTCTACACACTCTAGGAAGCACAACCTTCTTTTTTTCTGCCTCAGCATGTCCAGGGAATATTGCTAGTAAATACAGGAAATGAAAGAGTAAACTTTTCCTTAAAACAATGCTCCTCTTCATATTACATTTAACTTTCAGCAAAGAGCTAAGAAACTAGTTCCAGTGTCCTGTGATCTTGTTAGGTAAGTCCGAATTAAGGAGTTTAAATATTATTAGGAAAATGTCTCCAAATGGTTGTTTTTGTAGCTTTTGCACTTGCTAGTGCCCTTATCTTTTTACTCAGGTTTAGAAAGGTCAGCTGGGTCCCCTGGAGGAAACCCTCATTGTGGATTTCCCAACAACAGGAGACGGAGCAGCAGCTGTTCTTGAGTCGGATGAAAGGTCCTCAGTTTGCAGCTGAAGAGCACAATGTGAATTACGGGGTCAGACTCTTGGTTTAGCCTCAGTGGCAGTAGCTAGCTGCGGATGTGAGGGGCTGCAAAATCACACACTGCATTAGGGGAGTGTAACGTTTCTTTGTTTTGCAACGTACCCTGTAAGCTCTGGTACATGCTCCAGTAAATGCGCAGGCAGTTTTTCTCCTTCTTCATGCCCCTCTTACAGCGGCAGTTGTACAGAGATTTCTGCTTGAGAGCTTCCATGGCGCTTTTGCATTCGTCCTTCGCCTCCAGGCCTGTCGCCCGGCTGAAGTTGCTCTCTTTGCCGGCTACACACTGCCTCAGTGTCCTGTACTTAGTACTACAGCTCTGCTCCTTGAGACACTGATCGCTGGCTTTCACACAGTCAAGGCGGTCCCCTCCAGGCAGCCCACTCACTTCTGCGGACAAAAGTACATCTAGAGAGAGGAGACACAAACCGACAAACTCTTGATGAGGGATGAGGCTGATTTAACCAGGGCTCCAAAGCGGGCATCTGGGAAGCACAAGGCACCTCCTCACGCAGCACATGCGGCCAGCCCCACGGGCAGCACCTTGCAAACCTCAGGGCTTCATGCTACACCTCAGGAAAAAGCACACGGGGTTTTCATGGGCTTAGATCTGCTTTTGTGGGAGTCCAAGGAAACCACACATTTTAACCCTGCTGGTTGATTTATGAGAAAACACAAAAAGGAAAGAAAACCCACAGGGGTTAATGTGCCTGACAAAACAAGCATTCATTATTCCTTAGATCCACTTTGGTGAAACAAATAACCTTTCCATTCGAGTGTTTAACTGAGGGGTTAAATATTCAGCCTCACTTTCCACAAGAGCTTTGCTGTAATTTCAATTACATCCACGAACAACCCGCTCAGAGAGATAAGTATCCTCACTGATTGATATTAGCCTCTTTTTGCGTCAGTCACTTTTTAAAGGCTGTACACATTTTTGCTTATTCTACATGTATAAAGGTAAAATTTATGACTCCCCCCCCTCCATTCCTCTCCACGTATGATGCTTTTCCAGGAGAACAAAGCAAATTACATTAACTCTCTCCTCTCCATCGTGCCCCCTGTCACGCTCCCACAGACACACGCCGATGGAAACGCAAGCATCTCCTGTGGAAAGGAAACCAGTTTGGGCTGCAAACCACTCGCAGTCAGGCAGGCTGCCAGGTTCAGGTGAAGATGTAATCCTTCAGCTGGTTCTTGTCACCCCCCCCTCCCCAAGCAGCCTTATTTTATTAAAACGAAAAGTTTCCCTGTAACTTGCGAGAACCCAATTTAACAAGAGGCTAGGCAGGCAAGTATCTAAGCCTGTAATCTCCCAGAGCTTTAAATGTAGACTGGGTTAACTGATGTGAGGCAGAGCCGTAAAAACTACTGGAAACTTCACTGTTCAGCCTAAACAATAGACTGACAACCGTCAGGCATCCGAGCCCATAAACCCTATGCTTTGCTTTATGAAGCGATGTACAGAGAGAAATCAGACACCAGCAACTTACCCACTAAGGGCAAAGCGAAGTACAAGATAGCGAGAAACATCTTGCTGTTTTCGGATGGTTTCCCCAAACGAGCTGACGTGCCACAACAAAGAGGATCAGCATGTAGATATTCCAAAACCGCCGAGGTCTAAAGACTCCAAGTTCAGATCCATTGAAATCAAGGAAAAAAAAAAACCTCTCTCCTCTTCACCGCTACCACCACCAGCGGCAGGAGCGGCGACGCAAACGCTGAGCTTTTTCCTTTAGATTTCAGGTCTGAGCAACCTGAAAACACAAGCACTGACTTCAGCGAGGGAGCGAGAGAGGCGCACGCATGGGTATATGTGTGTGCGAGTGAGCAAGCGGGAGCGGGGCAGGAGCGCCGGTCGCCTCCTTGGGTGGGCAGCGCTGTTCCCAGGGAGGGACCGAGAGCACAGACGGGGGGGCGGGAGGGACGAGATCCGCGACGCCCGCCCGCCCCCGG